GAAGCTAGACGTTTCTTCTTATATTAACTAACGTACTCTACGATTAGCTCAGTGAATAATAAAAAAAAAAACATAGACCCGGCTAAGCGGTAGAAGTGGAGTGATACAAAATTGTGAAAGGGCGTTCCTGTAGCGATACCAGTACAATATCTCACGGTTCTCAACCAATCAGATTTGAGAACCAAAACTGTTGTATAAATATAGACATGTAAATATTTTCAAAATATATACAGTATTTGTGTCTTTATATTATACACAGAACACTCACATATATTTTGCAAACAAAAACGTTTATTTTGTATGCGATTAATCGCGATTAATTGTTTGACAGCACAAATATATATATATATATATATATATATATATATATATAATACATTTATTTGAGTAGTTTTCCTATATAGAAGCCATATGTAATATGTAAAAAGAAATAGAGAATGTCCACTTGCCTCTGACAACCAAAAATCTGTATTGTTAAAAGCGCTATATAAATAAAGGTGACTTGCCTTGACAATAAGGTCTCATTTTTTAACATTAAAAAGTAAAAGCGTTAGCAAACATGAACTAACAAGATGTTTGAAAAGATGTTGTGGCAACTAAGTTTAAAGTTGCTGTCTCTGAGGTCTATCCATGAGTCAGAGAGAGAGAGAGAGAGAGAGAGAGAGAGAGAGAGAAGGGGAAATTTAACCATCTGTTTGTTTGAGACGGTAGTAACCATAGTAAACATTCATCTTACAAAGCCACAATGTGGTGCATATTAAAGTGCAACTGAGCATCTGTTGTAAAACACAACTCAGAATTTCCTTATCCAGAGTTTACGTCTTGTGAATGCATTGAGCGCCAACTATGGGACAGTGGAATACAGTGTGCTGTGATGTGAAGGTCTGTGTGAGCTGGTCATATACGACGTTTCCATGTGTGTGCATCTGTTGGCTGTTGACCACAGCCTGGTGTTATGGAGATGGAGATGATGTTTAAATTTAAACTCGTCTTCAGGGAGGTTGCTATTCAAAATACACTTGTAGAAGCAGATGTCATAATATGTGTGCGTGTGTACCTTTTCTTTGGCAAGTCAAAATATAGTCCTGGTAGATTTTTAAAGGAAACAATAGCATTTCATTTTTTTCCCTAAAGTCCACTTATAATGTTAGTCAATTTGTTTGTACCACAAGCTATTGTATTTGTTTTCCATGATCATTTTTCATCCTCTCTTTGACCCTTAGAAATAAACAGGCTGTTTTGCTGCTGTATACAGTAAAATGTTTTGTCAGTTTTTGGACACATTAAATGAATCAAAAGCGACACTAACGACATTTATACTATATTATATTTATATGATATATTTTGTTACGCAGCACAACTGTTTTAAACATTGATAATGTGAAATGTTTCTTGACACAGCAAATCAGCATATTAGAATGATTTCTGAAAGATCATGTGACATGAAGACTGAAGTAATGATGCTAAAAATCAGCATTGCCATCACAGGAATAAATTACATTTTAAAATATGTTCAGATAGAAAACAGCTATTTTAAATTGTAAAAATACTTCACTATTTTTACTGTATTTTTGCCATGGTGAGCATAAAAGACTTCTATCAAAAATATGAAAACATCTTGCCAACCCCATACTTTTGAACAATAGAGTATGTCGTCATAATGCATCCAGCTGTGCTATTTCAAACAAGCAAATAAAATCCATTTTTACATGATATGGCTTTTTAACAGGATTTTTAAATATCTGGACTGTAAATGTTGCATGCATCAAGGTGCTTTCTAATAGTACCTTCATTACTGGAGTCCAGTATGCTGTGGCTGAAGTCTTGGCCCTGTAGGATTGTCTCGATGATATCATCAGCATCCACTCTGGTAGCATCCACTCGCTTTAGCTGAGACTCAACCGAGTCCTGTTTTACAGGGTGTCTGAAATACAAACATATACAAGACTTCACTAAAAGATTTTTCTACAAACACATTTTGCCAGAAGAGCTGATGCACACACGTTTACCTGTTGGCTGTGATCCCACTGTGGTGCTGGGGTAAAGGTGTGCAGGCCTGTGTGCGGGACTCTCTGTCCTCACTGGGCTCTGGTAGGCTGCCAATCCCAGTGGAGGCACTGCCCACAGACAAGTTCCTCCTATGAGAGAGCTCCGTCAGGCTGGAGGAGCGCGAATGACCCGTGCTGTAGCCTACAAGAATGTCCAGACTGATCAATATTATATATATGCACATATATAATGCAAAAAGTCATAGAATAAAAAAAGAATAAACATTTGGTGTGAATGAACAGACCGGAAAACTTGGACTGTTGGCTGGCGTAACTGGCTGTTCTTGAGTGACCACACTTTCCCAGTTCATCTGGAACAGAACCATGACTGAAGCAACTTTTTCCTAGGTTTTCTAGAAAAAAAAAAAAATCAGTGGATTGTTACCATAATTGCTAATTTTGGAATTGTTGAAATGCAAATTAAGACTTTACTAGGTTTTTAAGAAAATTACATATACCACTGTAGTCAAAAGTTTGGAATAATTATTCAATTTTTAAAAATAAATAAATTACAAAATGTTACTTAAATAAATTACATTTTAAAATATTCAAATTGTAATAATATTTCACAATATTTTTCACTGTATTTTCATGATCAAATAGCAGCTTTCGTGAGCATTAGAGACTTCTTTCAAAAACAAAAAAAGCATATTATTCCAAACTTGGCCGGTATATAGGCAGTGATTTTGTGTGAGGACTGTGGAGGTACCTGTACAGATTTTAGCTGCACTCTGTGTCTCTCCTCTTCTGTCCTCATGTAGACATGTCTCGATTTCTCCTGGAAAACCAATGGTCATTGCAGTGGATGGAGGCCTGGAAGAGTCAAAAATATATCCATTAAAAACATATAAACATACAAAAACATAACAAAACATCAAAATAAGACATTGTTGCATATACAAAAATCACATAATATACTATTCTTAACTTAAACAGTAACTTACATATTTTTTACAAAACTATATTTAAAGAAATGTATTTAAATATTTAAACTACTTCTTTACTTGAGAGCCTTAATATTTAGAGGGAAAAAAACACATTAAAAATGTCTAATTCATTGTTTAACAGAAGAAAGTCAGTCATACAGGTCTGAAAAAATAAGGTTAGGTAAATGATGACAAAATTGTATTTTTTGAGTGAATCATTCTTTTGATAAACTGAACCCAGCCAGGTCATGCAAACTATATAAAATATTTCTAGAGAAGGAATAATCTATAAAACACAGATTTCAGGGGATATTAATCCATAAAGTACTAATCTGGCATTTCACTGGTTTAAGTGCCTCTAAAACTGACAGTGACATAAAACTATGACGCAGCAGCCAGAGCTAAAAGCACTCGAGGCGCAGTATGAGCACTCCCACACACACACAAACACTTCTGCAGGACTCACAAACACACACACTCACCGGGAAACACCACCAAACACTTTGATTTATGAGTGCGCATGACTATTTTTGACAACCATCCACAGTGAAGCAACGATACAACTCTCACTAGAGCACGATTCACATGTCTGTGACGACAGAAGTGAGACACACACACACACACCTCTTCATGGAGGTTTATTTGTCACTCATTTCAGTTGCTAATCCACTGTCAGAACACTGTACGTGTTGTTTTAATGGGAGATTGTGTGCCAGCTTGCTTGCATAACAGGAAGCACACCTTTCAGTGTTTCTGGGTGCTGTTTGAGATGATTAATATTACGCCCTCTAAATGTCAGAATAAATGTCAACTATTTCAACATGCATGCAAACACATCCACACAATTACTCCAATATACTAGAAATACTAGTGCATCTGACTACAATCAGACCTACATAAAGAGAGAGGGCAGTGAAAAAAGAAAGCACATTCATTTTTCTTCACAAAAATCCCTGTAAATAAATGTTTTAATGCTAATTATTGATCAGAAATGTGATTTTTTTTTTACCAACAACCTTCCTATTTTCAGTGCTGAATAATGTAAAATTTTTCATTATTGTGCTACTTATCATTCAGAAGACACCATTCCACTATGCTGATTTGCTGCTCAAGAAACATTTATTATTTTCAGTGTTAAAAACAAATGTGCTGCTTAATATTTTTAATATTAACCATGATGCATCTTATTGAGGATTCTGTAGTCTTTACTGTCACTTTTGATCAACTGAATTGAATGAAAGTATAATTTCTTTTGAACATAAATCTTACTGCTTACTTTAGAATGGTTGAGTAAACATACCACCTCAACTTATAATCAGAGGTTTCAAGCTGCAGACACCTCTGTGTAAAAAAAACAAAACAAAAAAAAACCTCTGTGTCTGACTGTCAACTCTGTTTAACTAAACATCACCAAGAAGTGGTTGAACCAGACTTCCTGTGTTCATGCAGTCCTAGACATTGGTGTCAGAAAAACACTGGCACAAGCACTCTGGCACAGCCGCATAGACACACAAACAAATACAAAGGCATCATGGCAGCTGCATGTGCTATTGTCGCACAGTTTCAAGGTCATTCTGAGCTGCTGGGTTACTCAGTGTTGAGCCAGCTCGACCAGCGTGGTCTTTCTGTATCACTTGTTAAACTTAAATAAACTAGGCTGTCCCATGCTGAAGACCAGCATCCAAAACATATGCTGGTCTTTTCAGAAGGATGCAGATTTTAGATTTGAATATGAAATTCAAACTTTTCAAAATCTATTAAAAATTAAGGGACAACTTACTTTTTAAAGCAAGGATCACCTGACATTAGCTGCATACTGATTATCACCTAGAGAAAGAGAGAGAGGTGGTGAGTGGTTACATAAACATACAGTATGCGATATAGCAGACTGTATATTTAATTAATAGCCCTGAAAACATTAAATACATCAGATACTGGAGAATCGTGTGGTAAATTGTATTTTGCTGAAGGATATAATCAAGGCTTTAAAAATTTGATTGACTGAGCCACTGTAAGATTTGAGGCTACTGTAATAACAGCCCATAAATGCACAATATACACATAAATTAATCAATTAACATAAACATATTGTATAAGGTTGACACTGTTTTCTACAATTTTATGACATATACACATTATTATTTTGTTTAAAGTTATTATGTCAAGTGTCTCATAAAGCAGAACTAATTTTTATTTGTTGTTTACTTCTTTTTTTACTTAAAATATGATTTAAAAATGAAAAAAGTTGGATTAATATTTAACATATCATACTGAATATATTAATATTGTGAAATAATAATGATGATGATTATTATTATTAATATTACATATGATGTGAGTACCATTGTTGAGTGTTTTTGGTGCCATTTATCAGTAAACATAATATTAAATAATCTAAAAAGTTTACTTATACTACTATGTTTAATAGTCTCAAAAAGAAGAACCAATTTTTAATTACTGTCACTTCTGCTTTTCGACTCAATGACAACTTAAAATATAGTTTTAAAAATAAAAACACATCATAATATGTATTTTATTATTATTAATATTAATAATAATCACAGCATAATATGCATTTTATTATTATTAATATTAATAATAATAATAATGTCATTAACAATGCTTTTTTCATAATATTTATTTACTATTAATAATAATAATATTCTTAACAATTTATAAATAATAATAATCACTTTACTTGTGATAACCATTGTTGGGTGTTATTTTTTAAGGGCCCAATTATCAGCAAACCCAATATTAAAGAATCAAATAGAAAAGTGTGAATATTGCACACACACACAAAAAAAGTCCCGTATATAGTGTAAAATAACTGTAATGCATCACATGACTTGTTTCTATAATAAACGTACAAATATGGCATCACACGTGGGTCCAAATGTTAATGGACTGCAGTGATGCCAGCTAAAATGGTCTGGTCATGTGTGTGGCTCTACAGCTATAAATGTGCAGGCCTGTGGAATTTTGGGTGCTCTGCGATCAGCTCCAGGCGGAGGTGGAAGGATACAGGCCTGTGGAATTCTGGGGGCGCTGTGAACAGCTCTAGGCGTAGGTGGGGGTTGTGGATTGGCAACACAGGCCGAAGCATGCCACACATAACCCACATGAAGCGGAACATGAAGTAACACAACACCGCACACAGATCTGAGGGACACACCCCTCACCCGTCCCCTAGCAACCACGTTTATGATAAAAATAAACTAAAAAATAAAATACATAGGACATGCAGTCTCAAGACAAAGGGGACAACTGTGCATCTTCATTATAATGTTTTCTGCTATGTATGTGTGTGTCTGTGTACCTTCAGTATAGAGTTGTCCTGACGTGTGTTTTTGGTGTTGTATCCCTCCAATAGGCAGCGCCGTGTGGTGCTTCCTGAACCGGCAAACTCAGCCAAGTTTAAATCAGCAAACCCAAGCTGTGTGACACACACACCGTATCAGTGCCAGTGATCTGATAGAAAAAGTCTTTATAATCCACAGATAAACTGAGCTTACCTTTGCAAATGTCTTCCCACCTTTGAGCTCCTTCATAAAAGAAAAAAGAAAAAAACTAAAATCTCACCCAATCCAACTACATTTGTACAGAAACAAACTGCTTAGAGCCCAATTTAACAATACGGATGTTCAGTGTTGGGGGTAACGCATTACAAGTAACACGAGTTACGTAATCAGATTACTTTTTTAAGTAACTAGTAAAGTAACGTAATACTTTTGAATTTAGAAGGAGTTACTTTTTCTTTTCTTTGCTACTGACCTTTGATGATCCAATTCAACCATACTAAGCAAAAATGACACATTTGTGTTTCATTTTTGTTATTGCTGAATATTCATATTCTTCATGTAATTTGTTTGAGCTGCGCTCCCTACTGATCAGACATGAATTTACATTTCCTTCAGCCTGAGGCATATTTATTTCACTTTTATTGCGAAAGGGCTTTTACATTTGTAAAATAACTACTTTTTTATATTAAAAACAAACAAGTAACTCTTAAAAAGTAACTCAAAAGTAACATAATGCATTACTTTCCATAAAAAGTAACTAAATAACATACTAGTTACTTTTTTTAGGGGGTAACGCAATATTGTAATGCATTACTTTTAAAAGTAACTTCCCCAACACTGAGGATGTTAAATCATACCTTTCTTACAGATACCCGAAAAACACATGGATCCAACACCCCTGTCCCTGCATTAGCACTCATCTTACATAAGAAGGCAAATCTTTTCTTCCATTTAACACAATTCACCAGAACTGGCTCTCTGCAGAAAAAAATAAAAACCACAAGAAAGATCATGTAGATAGTGACAAGACATACAGATAAAATGATAGAATTACTGAAACAGACCGAAAGATTAAAATGACAGACTGACAGATAGATGAAATCTGAATACAGTGTTTACTGTCTTTGCCTCAATACACAATGACATCTCTATAAGCTCTATCATTACCGCTGTGTTATTAGGGAAAGTGATTTAGACAAAGCATTTGTCTAGGGAGATTTGAATGAGAAGGCACATTACAGTAATGTCTACAGGAAGAGGATTACTTTGTTACAATGTCTGTTACATCATATTTATTCTGGTTGTGAAATACTGTGCATTCTGTAAGGCATATTTCGGAATAATGCTTCCTGCAGCAGTTTTTCACTGACTTTGTACTTGTTTTTCCTGAAAACAAAGTTACACTAATGCCAAGTAAACCTTCGGCTGTGGTGCAACACATGTTTATGAGGAGGAACGTCTGGAATTCCGACAGATATGGAATGTAACCGTTTTGTAAAATGCACACTACTGTTGCCACAACAAGACCAGCCTCGACGGGTAGAGGAAGGAAAGCATTTGCTAATCAGACACTGCCCACTTTTGCCGACCTGTTGAGCAGAACACCCCCCTCTCATTCACCCCCCTGCCAAAATACACGTTCCTCTATAACAAAATCATCTGCAATGTTTCGTAAAATGTCTCGATATCAGATTTAAGCGCGTCTAGGTTAACTGAGCCAAAAGAAAAAAGACAACACATGAACATAAAACAAGCACTGCTTGTCATCTTTGATCATCTCGAACTCATTCATCATTAATCAGGCAACCTAATGAAAATAAGTCAATTATTTCAAGATTAAAAAGGCTTGATGTTCTTGATCACTCATACAATATATTCAACAACAGAAATACATGTATTATTTAAGGTTATTTCATATTAATATTAAATAGGGTTACATCTGGACATTTATTTTAAATAGCTTGATGTTCCTCATACAATATATTCAACAACAGAAATACATGTATTATTTAAGGTTATTTCATATTAATTATTAATAGGGTTACATCTGGACATTTATTTTAAATATATATATAGACAAACAGATAGATGCCTGTCCTTCTGAATTGACTTCCTGTTGTGTGGCCAGTTAAACAGTTTATTAATAAACCGTCATTTGTGAAACTGATCCCAGGTGTGGTATTTTCAAGTGTTTTTTACTGTAAATTGTTGGTAAATTATTTCTCAGCACTGGGGTCATGGCGTGCCTCGCTCCTGAGCCGGCTATAATTGCATGTGTTGCTGCTGATTGAGTGAGCTTTGATGCAACATTCATTTAACCACAGCTGTACTTTGCTAATGCACAAACAGTGTACTCAATCACTGCAGTCCTGCAGCTCCTTAATAACACAAGCACTTCTGCTCTCTCCCGCCCTCTGGGGTCTTTAGTTTGTTGATGTTTTCATCAATATCTGTTTCTATGAAAACGAATAGCCAAGACGCATTCTGAAAGCTCCCTTTGATGTTCAGACTTTGTGAACACGTGCTAGCTGCGCCTTTAAGAGGACGCATTCAAGATATAAAGTAGAAAACGACTGCAAAGCTGTAAACCACTCCGGTTGGAGTAGCTGTTTGACTAACTGTATCAGCCAGACATAGACAGAGCTTATTAAGAAGTGCTAACAGTAAGACAGAGTGCAGAATTGAGCACAAGAACTGCATTTCACAGCGCCATCCTTTTTAAAACAGCACCATCTGCAGGGTACACACTGCCTCCAGGAGGGGAGACCAAGGTAAAGGGCTCCATAGATCACAGGAGATGACTACAAGGGATCAAATTTCCATATAGTTGAGCTCAGGTAGCCCTGAACTATAAATCTACTTTATTGAGCTTTGCTGGAATTGTGGGTATGAGACATAAAGAAACTTAGTTCATCGCTGCTCTGAATAAAGAGAAATGGTGGTTAGACTACATCTGTGTGTGAGTGAGAAGAAAAGAGAAAATAGACAAAAATCCCAAGAGAAACTGTAGACTGCAAGCATCTGTGTGCATATCAGTATGTCACGCATATCAACATGGACACTTTTTGAAAACTGACACTTGCATCACCCTGCTGAAAAAAGAAATCCAAACCAGTCTAAAGGGCTAGTCAAACCAACTCTATTACAATAACTATATTAGCGCCTAATCAATGGACGATAAAATTCTGTTTACTATACGTGTGTACAGCAGTTTTGTCGTCTACCACTTTAAATGCCCCCACTTTTTAAAGTTATTTGATTCTGGTTGGCTGTTAATGTTGTTGTTTTTTCATCAGCTGGAAAAAAAGTTATATCGTTCCTCTGTGCTGTCATCATTATAGTTGTGGCATGGACATTATTTGCTTACATTTAGAATGATTTTTAAAACTTTATTGTTATCATTTTAGTTATCGTCCATGGTGTGAACGGGCGTTAAGTTGGTTGGAAACTGGTTTAAACTGGACTTCCAGTTAACTAGGTGGCTAGCTGGTCTCCCCACTGAAAAGTGCTCAAAACCAGCCAACAAACCAACTTGACCAGGCTAGGCAACCAACTAAGACCAGCTTAGGCTGGTTTAAGATGTTTTCTTCAACAGTGGAGTCCTCATTCAGAATGACAGGGCCACCCTGACATTAGCGTAGGGCAACGGGTCCAGACTCAAAAGCCCACACAGCTGCTGTTTTACAACATATGCATCTCTCTCCCTGCTCCAGGCCTCATGTCCACAATCATTACCCTCACTTTTATAATCCTTTAAACATACTTCATGGTGCTTTCATGGAAATGTAATTACTTTTACAAGGTGACAAGACTTTTCAAAGTAGTTTGATTACCTGGACAGCAATATACAGGAGTTGCGGGACGGCAAAGATATGGTAGAAACATTGTCGCCATATGACGGCCCGCAACAATACCTCCACATCAGCACCCAATCAGGTCAGTCAACCACGAACCAAGCCTACAAAGTAATAAGACACATGCACTCTTTAAAGGGATACTCCACACAAAAATACAAATGCTCTCATTTACTCACCCTGTTCCAGATGTATATCGCTTTCTTCATGGAATAGAAACAGATTTTTAGAAAAATAATCCAACTTTGTATGTCTATATAATGAGCATATGCAAGTTTAACAGTTGGTTGAAAGCAATGGTTTATAGTTTAAAAAGTTTCAAATATTAGTATTTTTCTCTCTCTCTTACACACACACACACACACACACACACACCTATCATTTGAATAAAATAATAAAATAAAATAATATACAGCAGGATAAATTGAGTTGGTCTCACCTCGAAGACTCGTCTGAAAAGCCTCCGTCTGTCAGTCGAACCTTGCAGAACAGAACTCCATTCACGAAAGGGACAGATGACAGCTCCTCCAGCTCCACATCAACTTTAAACTTGAACCTCTTCTTTTTCATCATGATGAAAGCCATTGATCGAATATGTGAAGGACGACAGATTGGCCGTTAAACTCCACAAATGGGATTTCAGGAGAAGACACAAACGCTTTGACGCGCCTCAGAGGTGTTTGAGTCGGTGTGTGCGCGGGACGCTAGTTTTTTAAACGCTGCTGTGTGAACTGAGTTGAACCGACAACTGACGACACTTTAAAATAAAAGTCCCTCCTAAATATGTCATGCTTACAATAAGACAGAATGAATATATTACTTTATTTATTTACGTGAATTAATTACATGTATTTTTATTGCAATGGAATCTAAAATAATTTATTTTTCATTTATTTTAAATTGTTCTTATGTTAATTGGTCTATTTTTTTGTAGCTTTTATGGCTAATATAATACGATATAGGAGAATATGGAGCTCGAGGAGGAAAACACCTACATTTTATTCAGAGGCCCTATTCTATTACAACAACAATAATAATAAAAAGTGATATGCAATATAATTTAATAGAATAATATAATTATTTTAGAATATAAAAATAACTATATTTATGTATGTACGTATAAATTGTATTTATATCTCTGTGTACATTTGTATTTATCATTTTTTAGAAATATATGTAAATCCAAAGAGGGCTTTTATGGCCGAGTCAAAAAAAAAAAAATAAAAAAAAAAAAAATAAAAAAATAAATGGAGAGAAAAAAAGTGGTCTTGGAGAACCCCTACTGGTCGATGCTGTAACATGACCATTCTGCTGTCTATAAGCATATTTTTCGGCCTCCATAAACTCTGTTTCATCCTAATTTTTAGGTGAAGGAAAAAGGAAAAATATTATGGTAAAGGTAGATAAAGGAACAGAATTTCATATGAATCGAGGGTAGGTATATTTTATGACTTTAATCTTTGTCTCATGTGAGACGGGATGATATGGAACAATACAATTTTAAGAAATAATACAGTTGATCACATGACGTAATAGCAGTTGAAGTTGGACTTTTATTTGAGTTTATTGGACCACTGAATTTATGGCCTATATTTTATCCTTCTTCATTGCACCAACATTACAACATACCTATAAAGAATATACAACATATAAAAGAAAGTACAACACAACATACAGATAACAATTAAGAAAAATACACAATACAAATACAGTTTAAAACATTATATACAATGCTGCGTGGAGTATAAGGAAAAGAGTATAAAAGATATGTAAATGGCGTTTGCATAAATATCACTTCATTGTTAGCAAACACACTGTATACTTTATTATAGAGGATTTATTGTTGTGCATTGATTCAGTTTAACTTGAAACGTTATTGATTGCTAAGTAAACTTTCTGTTTGCGTGAGCAACCTAACAAACAGTCCACCAGAGGGAGGCAAATCATCACGAAAGCATAGACTACCCGTGAACACAGATTACAGTGTCGTAATCTGACATCAAAGCTATTTTTAAATAAAGAATAAGAAACTATATCAGTAAAGTCGGCGATTTTAATTTTAAATAACGGATTGATTTTACAGAAATATTAGCAGCATTTAGTACAGTGTGGCTCTATATTAAAACACTAACAGTAAAATGATGGCGCTAGAGCAGAGAGCACACGTAAAAACGAAAATGACTTCGTTGCAGCTGCTTTTAAAAACTTTCATAACCAATCACAATCGGCCAAAAATAATTAAGACATATTTATCAGCCAATCAAAAGCGTTGTTACAAGAGTTCACCTTCCTTTCCGCATCAGCCTCCTTGGCGCTTCATGTCACCCGTAGGTCGTGGTTATTCTTTGTTATGACAGCCAATCACGTTCCCGGCTGCAACCATGAAACGTATGCTATTGCCAATCAGCGCTCGTATCGCAACCACGATTCCGTCCAGTAACAACAAGTAATTGGCCAATCAGCGCTCGTATCGCAACCACATTCCGTCCCAGTAAGAACAAGTAATTGGCCAATCAGCGCTCGTATCGCAACCACGATTCCGTCCAGTAAGAACAAGTAATTGGCCAATCAGCGCTCGTATCGCAACCACGATTCCGCCCAGTAACAGCAAGTAATTGGCCAATCAGCGCTCGTTCTGCATCCGTGATTCTTCGTAGTAACAACAAGTAGATCAACTGATCAATTAACGTCAAGAATCCCCGGAGACTTGCGGATTACGGCTGGAGAAGAAGATAACGGTCATCGATTAACTTCTGACCAACATTTGCAATGTAAGTGAGTCTTTTATCAATAAAAAAGTAACACTTACAATACTGGTGCGCAAATATGCATTAACTCATGAAGGACTAAACCATTTATTAATGATTACTACATCAGCAATTAATAAACATTCTTTATAATTAATAGATTAAGTAATAAATAAATTGTTATCAGTTAAATGTACTATAATGTATTAGTTCCGTAATAACATTATATTAACTAATAATGTAAATTTATATGTTAATTACCACAGTGGTCAAAGCAATGTACTTCAACTTCCAGTTGTCGGCTTTAGTTAATCATTAGCTAATGATTTGAGAAGTAATCATTATGTTATGACTTTACTTGTTGAGGCAAATAACTATTAACTAATTGTTAATATGTTATTGTGGTTATGGATTTTTTTCAATTAGTTAGTCATGTGCCTCAACAAGTAACGTTAAAGTAATAACATAATGATATCTTCACAAATCATTAGCTAATGTTTAATTAAAGCAGACAACGGGAAGTTGAAATGGCACCTATTCATGTTGAAATGCATTGCTTGTGATAATTAACATATGAATTTACACTATTAGTTAATATAATATGTTTTTAGGGAATTAATACATTATGACACATTTAACTAATAACAATTTATTGATTATTTTATCTATGAATCATATAGAATGTTCATTTGTTGCCGATGCAGTAATCATTAATAAATGGTTTGGTCCTTCATGAGTTATATATTAAGTCATGATTATCTGTGCATCAATTAAGCATGAATTAATGCATATTAGTGCCAGCGTATTGTAAAGTGAGTTGTGTTTTTATGTTACCATAAAAATAAAGTGGCAAATATATAAAGTTGTTTTGAATGAATAACTTGTAGCTCAGACAAGCTAATAATTCAGGTAATTAATATAAAATATTATTAAAAAATAAAGTCTTTTATATTTTTATAGATTAGCCGACCAAGCAGAATATAAAGTATATAACGTTACAGTTTAATACAGCTTTACCAGCTGCAACATTAAAATGATTCTTACACATTAATGCATCACTAATTATAATCCAATAATATAGTATACATTATGCTTCTACTTTTAGTACTTTAAGTATATTTGAATATACAAAACTAAAATTTTGAATGCATGACCTTTACTTGTAATAGAGCAGAGGGCTTCAAAGTGGGGAAAATAGTTTTTGGGGAGGTTCAGTGAATGAAGTAAAAAATTTGTCTTCAAAAGGAGATCACATAGAATAGACTGAACTTTCCCTTATCCACTACCCATTACTTACTTGAAAAATCATCTGTCTCAGGTGGGACAAAAGTTATATTTTATGGTATAATAATTATTGAAAAAATTACCTCTTACTCTGGGATAATTCTGATATGTTAGCCAACATTTTGAGCCTGTTGGAAAATATTTAAACAAACAAAACATAATATAAAATCAACATTACAAGGTGATCATGAGTAAATATAGTAATAGAATATACACCGCTGCATTAACTAATGTGTTACCAAATGTGTTTGTCTGTTTCTCTATAGTCTTTATGTCTTCATTTTTTAAATTTAGATGGAACCTCGTTTCAGGAGACGGGCTGATGGCAGCCTGAATCTGACTGATACAGTGGAAGCGGCAAAGGTGAAGGAAGGCAACAAAGGAAAGCCATACACAAGACCCCTGTCCCCGGAGAAAGTGCTGGACAAAGCCAAGAAAAGCTTAAGTCAGCACCACGGAGATCTGTCTAACAGAAAGCACCTGTTGGGTTTCTTTGAAATCCAGTTTGGTGTATTTCGCGGGCAAACATTATCTTAAAAATGGATTCTACTAAAAAAGTGGCCAGAAAACTAGCAGGATGCAGCTATGGCACAGCTACTTGGGCAACTAATGTTGACAATGAGCATGGACAGGTGATCATGTCCGTGCTCACAGCCAGCGAAGGATTTGGTCTCGGGCCAATGATTGAAGGCCTTATCAAGCGATACAGGGTGGCCGGGGTGGCTCCTCCCGAAGTACTGTATGTCGACCGAGACTGCTGTGGCAACATTTTATACTTATTTAAAGTATTCAAAGTTTCCTTTCCAGGGATAATAAAGTAAAGTGAAGCAATGTGAATTTGCATTTGTTTATTTATGTGTTTATTTTCTGTTTTTCTTTTTCTTTTCTTTTTTCAGAACGACGAGTCTGTCTTCCGGCTGGATGGACACACACCCTGCCTGAAGTGGACCAGAGGTGGATCTCCAAGGCCCTGTTCAGGTGGACAGCACAGGGGCATCCTGAGCTGGTCTTTAGTAGTGTGGACAAACTTTGGTGGTATCCTCCACAGGTGCCACTGAAGACCAGTAATTCTCCTTCCTTGGAGAATTACTTTGGCCATCGCCTGCTGCTCTGGATGCCACGAAAACTGTGGCAAGTGAAGCTGACCTATCCGCATCCAGACTGTCAAAAAGAACTTCTGACCTCAGCTGGCTTGCATTAAAAGATCAGGCAGGTGGTTGCCATGGGTGAGATGTACTTTGTGGCATCTGAGTACCTGGCCTGCCAAAAATGTAAGAGGAAGGTCATCAGCTGGAGCCATGATCTCGTCTCCCAACTCGACATTGGCCACAGGGTGCAGTTCCCTTGCATTCTTACATCAAAACTTGCATGTGACCTCGAGGTAGTAACTTTGATGCATCAGCGAGGGCTGGGAAACAGCAGCAGCCCGATCCAGCGCAAGCTGCAGGAGCGTCATGCTGATGTCTGGTTGCAAAATACAGTCCAGTATCTGACAGATTGCAAGGGGATTGCCAGTGCTGTCATGTCGAGCCTGATCCTGCCTGTGACATTTGAACCTGCTCCTTCAATGCCTTCTGTCCCTAAGCACCGATGGCTGATGCAGGTGTATGCCCAGGGCTGTGCCAGAGGTTCCACTTCGCTTGAGTCATTTCACCTGCACCTTAACAGATTCATCCCAGGTTAATAAATGATTTAACTGAATTATTAAAATAAGATTTGATTTATATTGAAATAATTATGAGAATTGCAAGAACAGCTATTTGTGTATTTATATGACATTTTTGTGCGGTATTTTTTGTTTTGTTTTTTTAATTTACAGGCACGCTGGCAAGTGACACCTTCTTTCAGGCGTATCTTTTGGATGGACTTGCAAGGTGGAATGAGGACCGGGCTGTAGCAGCAACAACTGATGAGCAGCAGCCACATTCATACAATCATCTTCTGCGTCATGCTGTCAATACACTTGCAGAGGAGCTTATGGGCATGAAAATCATCCCTTATGTTGGGCCAAGAAAGTACACTGGTAGATAACTATTTTTTGTTTTTGGTGACAATTTCATTCAAGTTCAGACACACCATTTAACCACTGAGTTATAATATAATATCATGGTATATTATCTAATTGTCATTGTTTTACTATTTTAAAGGTGAGCTTATTGGAGTGGAATATCTTTACCAGCAAACTGGTAAAGTTCTGCAGGACTACAAGTTGGCCATTGAAGAGTCAGAGACCACGGAGGTTGGTATAGAGGTGGATGAAGGTTATGCTGAACTTGAGGAGTTTCAGGACATCACTGTCCCCACCTTTGACACTGAATGGACACCTGCTGCCTCTTCACAAGCATCAGTGTCTGCAGCGTCTGCAGCATCATCTTCAACCCCTCCAGCAACCAGCTCCACGTCATCACTGTTTGTGGTCCCTCCATCACCAGTGACATCTCCTGTCACCAGCTCACCGCACACTCAATCAAAGCCAGCACTCTCTCCTGGAGCACATAGCTGTGAGTTTTACCAAAGTATTCATAAAGGTTTCGGTATTTGTTGTCACACTAACTCTAAATGTTTATTTATCACATTGAAAGACATAAATACAAATTTAAAATAAATATTTACCTTTGTGATGTAGTCCCAGTGGACAGATTATCTGCAGAAACAGATCTTCCAACATCGGAAGAGAACACTTCACATGATGTAAGGGCCTAGTTTCTTTTTTATGTACATTTACATGTGTGTAAACAAAATCTGGGTTATGTTGGCTGTGCTTTCATGTGAATATTTGTATTCATTGCTGCTATCAAAAGTTCCTAAATTATCTTTCATTTTAGGATTCTGTTGGACCTGATAATATTGAGGGGTATGGAGCTGTGCAGGACTTGGCAGAGTTTTTGGTTAGCCTCAGAGATCACCGTCTGGCCTTGACTGGAGAAGAGTGCTTCAAGATCATCACTCTGGCAAGCATTGGGGGAGTATGACAAGAAGAAGACCATTTACCCACCACGTCACCAAACCACCCTAAAACAGGGACGGTTCAGGGCCACTAAGAAGATTGTGGCCCCAGGTGTGGAAAGCACGAAAAGGTATGTTACGTTTAGTAAACACAGGGTCTAAAAAGTTTTGTATAAAATATATATAATATAACTGAATCTAGCTGAAATATCACCTACAGCTTTATTTGTTTAGTAAGGATTTCTAGTAAAATGAGTAAAACCTGATTCCTTCATGACTAGCTTATCTTCCTGCAGCCTGTTAAGTTCAAATTTAGCCTGGTTATAACATAAATTATTAGTTGTGATTTAGGTTTAATGCTGACTATATGTTAGGTTGCTAAGTAAGTTACATTGCTATGGACACAGTTCCAACCGTACATTGGAATATTTTATTTATCAGAAGCAAGGCAATCATTTCTTAATCAGTAAAATCATTTTGTATCAATATGTTGAGTCAACTCACAATATTTGTACCTGTAAACACATTTTTTAAAAAGTCTTCCAGTATTATTACATAACTGTAAATCACAAAATAAAAACAGGGACAGTCAAAATAAGGCAGAAAATATATTATATAATTTCTATACTGTAAAAAAGGCTGTCAATTAGCACTTATTTTTTAGGTTGATGTGTCAAAATTGCACTGCTGTTCTAAATTTTGTATCGACTTTATACTTGGAAATAAAAAGGGTTGTTAATCTTTGCACTCAAATTGTTTTTGTGCCTATTTGTATTCTCACTATATTTGTAGTTGCAAAAACATAAAAAAAAAGTAAAAAAAAAAAGTATTCCAGTATTACATAACCGTAAAACACACAATAAAATCAGGGACATTCAGAATAAGGAAGAGTAAAATGAGTAAAACCTGATTCCTTCATGACTAGCTTATCTTCCTGCAGCCTGTTAAGTTCAAATTTAGCCTGGTTATAACATAAATTATTAGTTGTGATTTAGGTTTAATGCTGACTATATGTTAGGTTGCTAAGTAAGTTACGTTGCTATGGACACAGTTCCAACCGTACATTGGAATATTTTATTTAGCAGAAGCAAGGCAATCATTTCTTAATCAGTAAAATCATTTTGTATCAATATGTTGAGTCAAATAATTTGTCTTTTACTGTACTTTAGTAAGTAGCCGTGTAATAAGCGGGATAATGTGCAGTCATTATTGTTAAAAAACCCCGACAGGCTGACTAAAGACAACGATTCCACAACACAGTAACCCAGTAGAGACCTAATTTATTGATATGACATTTCAACATCGACCTAGAAAACAAAGAAAGCCAACATAACTATGCGCAAATATTATAAATTCAGGGACATTCAGAATAAGGCAGAAAATATAATCAGTTAGCACTGAGTTATTCATATATTTTGTTATGAAAATGCACCAAGAAGATGGCTTGAAAAACACAAATCGTGTATTGTTGCAATGACTATTCACGTTTTATCAGTCAAAACATTTCGGCTTTTTTTATCCAGTGACAGCTGAATGCCTTTGTCCATATAAGGTATTTCCTGTAGCGTGCGTCACAAGTTAGTACTTCTACGAGTCCGTTTTGGACTTTCTGCGAGAGAGCGCCCTCCGGCGTCCGGTATGAACGAAACGTACATAACGTGAGAGTGTTTACGTTGGAGAGTGCCCAAATTAAAGTGCGGGGACGAATTTACGTTTGATTAAAATGCGGGGGACAATGATGATGACACGCGTGCACCAGCAGCGTCAAAACGGACACATTCCAGGAATTCCATCACTGGTCGGAGGGGGCCGCGAATTCGTGTCGCTGTGCCTCTTCTCGGATCTTTACCTCGACCAACAGGTGCCGTCCTTGGCGCTTCATGGCGCAGTAGGCAGCGCGTCAGTCTCAGTGAGTAAATTAGCATTGTTACCACTAAGGGCTACACAGAGGGTCCAAGTAATTGACGCGATTGACTTAGGCTGATGTTACACGGGGCAATTTTTTGATCAATGCTGCCGGGCAACTTTGGTTAATATTGCCGTCAACAGGCAACCAGGTGAGACACAGGGCGCACGATTGATCTGAAGTATCCAGATTGAAATTTGTTACCCATTCTCAGTGGGAAAGTGCCCAAGAAACATTTCTCAAAAAAAAGTTGCCCAACAAAATTGCTCAAAAAATTGCCCCGTGTATCATCAGCCTTAATGTAACCGTGGCTGCTTTGACAGGTCTAGAAACAAATCAACAAGAGTTCAACTTCTGTTTTCTTCTTCATTATGAAAAATAAGATTTATGACATGGATCAGATGTCTTCAACAGACTGCAAGTATCCATAATCCATAATCCAATGTTAATCTCAATGAAGTAGCCATTTCACAAAAGCAGTAATACATTAGACGACTGCTATGTGATCTCAGCTGTGTCATGCTGCTGCGTCATAGTCATGATCAAATAGTAGTTGATCACACCATCTTTTGTATTATTGCTTAAATGTTTATTAATATTGGTTGTTTTATGTTTCCCAGGTTCAGCAATTAAAGTGCGGGGACGAATTTACGTTTGATTAAAATGCGGGGGACAATGATGATGACACGCGTGCACCAGCAGCGTCAAAACGGACACATTCCAGGAATTCCATCACTGGTCGGAGGGGGCCGCGAATTCGTGTCGCTGTGCCTCTTCTCGGATCTTTACCTCGACCAACAGGTGCCGTCCTTGGCGCTTCATGGCGCAGTAGGCAGCGCGTCAGTCTCATAATCTGAAAGTCGTGAGTTCGAGCCTCACACGGGGCAGGCAGGTTGTGTTTTATCTCGAACGCAGAATTACCGAATTGCTATGGCTCATACTTTGAATATTTCACTGATGCAAATTGAATAGTTGAGGCAGATCTGCGACTGAAGTATGCTTTGCAAATTGCGGTCTAACATTACAGTGGCAAATATGTACAGTAATATAATATACAATCATGCCAATAAAGTAAGCTACGAACAGTGTTGGGGAAAGTTACTTTTAAAAGTAATGCATTACAATATTGCATTACTCCATAAAAAAGTAACTAATCACGTTACTTAGTTACTTTTTATGGAAAGTAATGCGAGGAGGTCGCAACCTCAGGCCATCTCCCAAGCTCCACCATCATATCAAGGACTTCCTGTCATTGCACCAGCACTACCCGTCTCTCGCACTTTCATTTTACCATCTGTGCAGCTTCCTACAGTGTTAGGCGCTTGCGTGCCGGCCTCTGCAGTGCCTGGTACCTCACAGGTGATGTTCTTCAACCTCCCATTACCTTCAGCTATGCCACCATCAGCTCAGACACAGACATCCAGTCAAGATGTTCCTTACTCCACTCAGCAATACAGAAAGAGAAAACTGGAGAGGGAACGCACTGGAACTATCACAAGAAAATATGTGAAGAAGACAGATGTAAGAAGAAATTTCAACGCACTTCAGCAATAAAACAAAGACACACAAATGTTTATCTAGACTCTAGAGTAATTTTTGCTTGTTAGTATGGTTGAACTGGATCATCGAAGGTCAGAAGCAAAGATATTGGTTAATAGAATGGGATTAAATACATAAAGGATATTTGTGTTGTTTAAAATTTAATTATTGCAGGTTTGTGTCATATTCTGAGTTGCATTATTTTTATTCATTTTGAGGAATACTGAATCTGTAAAAAAAAAACAGGAAATGGCAACCCTCCAGCTTCTTAAAATTGCTCTTTCAGCACGTTATTTTTATTTATTTATTTGGTTAATGTTTGCTTTATAGGGCACTTTACAAGTCTCCAACAATGACAGCTGTCTCTAAAATGTATAATAACTGTGTGTTTCCTCTGCTGCATGCCTCTGTTGGGAAAATATTTTATATTTCATATTTAATTTATATATATATATATATATATATATATAATGGTATGTTTATGTATTTTTATTATTATTATTATTATTTTAGGCTAACATGTCAAAATTGCACTACAGTGGTAAATGTTTGTTTTGATTTACTATTTATTTTTTTAGGCTAATAGTAAAATTGCACTATTGTGGTAAATGTTTGTTTTGATTTACTTTTTTTTTTAGGCTGTCAAAATTGCACTGCAAATGTTTGTTTTGGTTTGATATTTATTATATTTTTTAGGCTGATATGTCAAAATTTTACTACTGTGGTAAACATTTGTTTTGGTTTACTATTTATTATTTTAAATTGATGTGTCAAAATTGCATTACTGTTCTAAATGTTTTATTGACTTTAAAAATATATGCAGATTAAAAGGTTGTTAATCTTTGCCCTCACACTATTGTTATTTGTATTCTCACAATATTTGTACCAGTACCAGTATAAGTCTTCCAGTATTACATAACTGTAAATCACAAAATAAAAACAGGGACAGTCAAAATAAGGCAGAAAATATATTATATAATTTCTATACTGTAAAAAAGGCTGTCAATTAGCACTTATTTTTTAGGTTGATGTGTTAAAGTTGCACTGCTGTTCTAAAATTTTTTTTTTTTACTTTATATTTGCAAATAAAAAGGGTTGTTAATCTTTGCACTCACAGCGTTACCCCCAACACTGGCAACGAATATATATATATATATATACACACAATACATTTTTTAAAAAGTTTTATTTGTAGACTTTTTCATATTATTTTGCAAGTAATAATATGTAAACTTTTTCCATTTATTTCTTTATTTAATCTAAACTATGAATCGTTGTCTTTGTCAATGAAGTACTTTATATGCTTTGCAAATAATGTAAATGCTTACTGTGGTGGATATAACACTTACAGTAGTGTCAGTAAAGCTTTGACTCTGACAGAGAGAGAGAGAGAGAGAGAGAGAGAGAGAGAGAGAGATGTCTGAATGATTCCACATGCTGAATGAATTCAGTGACACTCTCAGTGAACGGGACGCAGCGGCGCTTTTCCTTCTCGGTTTGGGAAGGAAGGACTCACTACAGCCGGTGCAGCATGTGAAAGTCCAACACAGGCGACTTTCTCGTCTTTTCTTTTTACACATT